AGATAATTTTTATAATCTATTAAGTGTTGGTTGACTTCCTATTTTAACCTTGATGTCAATCTCTTAGCACCAATATCTCTTGATTCCATTGTTCAAATGCTTTTATAATTTTTTTTAGTTGTAAATAATTAAATCTCCTATTAGCATACAAAATCTTATCTTAATTTAATTTATAAATTGCTCCAAATCTTTAAAACCCTCATTAATCTTTTAAACTCTAATTTCTAAGATTCAAATATACTTTAATTTTAATAACCATTAAATGCACCATTTTATCAAGCTCAATCTTTTAATACATATTAAATATAGCTATAATTATACAACCACAAAATTTTAGTTGTAGATCTAGTATCATTCTCCTAAAAATTTCTAAAATATAAATCCTTTATATTTTTCAAAAATAAAATTACCTCAAAAAAATCCCAACTTTGCAAAGCATTTACAAAGCCATTATAAAATCAAGTTATCCAAAAACAACTCCAAAAGAACCTTTGCTTAGTTTGCTCTCAAACAATGTTCTTTGATAAATTAGAGTAGCCTAAAAGTGTAGTAGGTATGCAATTTTGTGCCTTTGGATTTGATTTTGATTCTAATTCAGAACCAATCCTCTCTAAGTATTAATTCTTGATTTTTTATGGTGATTTTTTGTAAAAAATATTTTTAATTCCTTCCTAAAAATATATAAATTATTTTTCTTATCTACTTTGATTTGTCTCATTTATGGCCATACAAAATAAGAAGAAATCTATTTTGTAAAGAGGCAGCATTACAAGTATTAGTTTTATTACCACCTTGACTATTATCTATACTTCTAAGGTAATTTGCTTCAATATTTTCAATTAAGTTCTTTTATAATATAATCTTTTATTTTTTCTTTCACCAAATAGCTATGTTATTATACAACACTAGTGTAAATGAAGACCTTCTAAGATAAAAAGTTACACCTTTTGCATGAAGATATGAAAAAAAATATTGGGTAGTATTTAATGAAGTCTTTGCTCCAAATGTTACGTTGTCAATTATAAAAATCCTAAGAATAAGTAAATAACATTCAATATATTACTTAGATGTCAAAATAATTTTTTTTAATAACCATCTTATAGATAAAGTATACATAAAATAACCTCTAGGATTCTTACAAAAATAAATAAATAAATAAATAAAATACCTTGTTTTTAAATAAAAATAAGCCTTATGCAAACTAAGACAAAGTTCACACATGTGGTATGATTGTATTAATATCTTCTTGTAATTACTTAGGATAATTTGCAATACAAGCAACCACAACTTATATCATATTAGCAACGTACATAACAAAACTATACTAGTTGTCTACATAGATGACTTGTTCTTGATAAGAAAAAATCAAAATATTATATCCTAGTTAAAACAAGAATCAAATAAAATATTTGATATAATAGACCTAGGACTTATCTCAAAATATCTAAGCATTGAATTCAAAATTCTATCTTTTTGTATTTTTCTATAAGAAGACCAATATTCTTTTAATATCATGAATAAATTTGACATAAATAATAATATTTATAAATATAAAATCATAGCTAGTAGATCCTTATAAATATTATCAAATAGTTGATAAACTCATCTTTTTAACTATCACCAATTTTAATCTAATTTATTTAATAAGCATAGTTTCAAGATTTATATCAAAACTTCAAAGACCAAATATAAAATTAGTTTGATACATCTTAAGATACATCAAAACTATAATTAAATTAGGGCTATTCAACCAATACAGTATTTTTCAAAATCTTCATAGCTACATAGATACAAACTTAGCTTCATGTCCAAACAAAAAAAAAAAAATCGACATGCACATACTGTTTTATATTAGCTGAAGTAATTATGACTTGAAAAAAAAAAGAAAAAAAAAGAAAAACAACAACAACAACAACAAAAACAAACTATTAAAAAACCTTCTACCAACTCAAAATACATGGATCTTTCTATAGAAACATTAGAAGTGATATGGTTTAAGAAATTTCTTACTGAGATAGACTTCCTATAGAGTTCATCTCTTTTAATATCACTTAAGAACAATAATTAAAAAAAAAAATTAGGTATTTAAATCCATTATTCTTTATTCCTACATAAAGGTAATAAACTAGCAATTAAATTAGCAAAAAATTATATATTCTATGAAAGAAAAAAATACATAGAAGAGCATCACCATTTCATAAGTGAAATTATAAACTGTAAAAAAATTAGCTTAGATTATATTTCTATATATTTTCAATTTGTAGACATCTTTACAAAAGCTCTTTTTTAAACAAATTTTTAGCAATATAGAATAAAACTAAGACTCATTAGTTACTCTAGCACCCTCTAGCTAAACTATTTTGTTTAGTCATATGAAAAATTTGCAACATATAACTTAATCTCCCTTGCACAAAACTGTTTCCAACTCAATAATAGATCTAATCTGCCTTGAGCTTTATTTTAAAAAATAAAAATATTGCCACTAATCCTTGTATTGAAGCTAGCCAGACTTTTAGCACAAATTATCAAAGACATGAATTACAAATAATAAAAACCTCATTACACTCTTATATCACTCAAAAATAGTAAATAAACATTGAAAGATAGTATAATATTAAATAGAATGGCTATTGCTAAAGATAAAAATATTAGAGACTCTTAAAAGAAGACTAAAAATATAAAAGGCATTGATATGAGCGAAAAAGATTTTACTCTTGCTTCCATATATACCATTTAACTAAAAGATATATGATAATGTTCTATAAGATCTCCAACATGTGTTTAACTTGTGAATGATATGTCTAACTTGCAACATAAGTTTTATATTACTACGCCACATGACCAACTTGTACCACAAGTTCTCAATATGTGCAATACATGGCCAACTTATTGGCTAAGTTTTCAACCTATCAAACAACTTCAAACATGTATAAAGTTAAATCTCCGTCTACATAGCTTTTAAAAAGCTTTTCTACAAGATATTATCAAATCTACTTATATTTACCTCCTATCTAATAATTTTTATTAAGGTAAATATGTATATCTGTGGTATTTAAATAATATCAAAATTATGACAAAGATCTTCAAGAAAGATATTTTTTTATTCAAATAGATAGAAAGATATATTGTCTTTAGCTCAATAATCTTAAAAGAAACTTTGGATTTTAAATGATACAAAAAAAGGTAGATACTATACTTAATATCATACAAAATGTATTATTTAAAGATACTTATAGAGAATTCAATAATAATCAAATAATTGACTAATCTTTTTATTTTAGTATATGGCATTATCAATTATTGAAGGGAACTATCAACCATTTTCAATCAAAATTTAGATTAAATTTTGTTGCTAATACCATTCAATAAAATCTTATACTTTATTAACTTTATTAAAGCACTTTGCTTGCTTCTTGTCGAACTTCTCAATTAGAAAAAGAAAGGATAATGTAATAGATGCTTAGATTATTTATATAAAATTAAGTAGAAACATGTTATGTAAATATTATCTTTTTTAAGAAGTTTTGAAGAAATCCTTCAATGCAAAATAGATACTTAGATTTTTATATACATGCAATATGGCTATTAAAACTTATCATATAAGTTTGTTACTTTTAAAAAGTTGCATGGAAAGAAACATACAAATTGATGCTTGGAGCATAATCCTTGCTATCCATAGATGGTGTGATAAATTCAAGAAGAAATAAACACAATATGGTGAATATTTTTACTAGATAAACTAATCAATTGGAAAATTGAAGGAAACAATTACATAATTGAAACAAGACAAATTTCTTGTTTAACCAATGCATTTGTGTAAGCCTTGAGTTTCTCTTATACACTTCATTATTCTTTTTTTATTTCCTTATTACTCTTTTTTAAGATTTCTTGATAACACCAAAATTGAATACTAACACTTCCACGAGCTGATTGATTTTACTGCAAACAACAAATCGAATCACAAACACTATTGACTCCCTAATAACAGAAATTCCGACCCACTTGTGTTCAGACTCAAAAAATTACCAGTTCTATTAAATCTAAAGGTACGAAAAAGGTGAACCCAATAACCAGTGACCAACATTTCAACAGTGTTGCACTCCACCCCTCAAAATCTTGCAGAGTTGCATTTGCGCACACACTGGCTCCATCATTAGAGACAAGAATTGCAAAGGAAAGCTTACAGAAATAATGGAAACGGAACAGTAGCAGGAATTACATTGTGGCAACGCACACAGTGAAAGAGAGAGAGAGAGAGAGAGCTAGAATAATAGCAATAATTATAATAAGGCGACAGTGTTGTAGGAAGCATTGGAAACAGTTGCTGCGACATTTCAAAGCGTGGACGCAGCTGGAGCTGCAGTCAAAGCGGTCGCGGTGCAGCAGAGCCACGGGAGCCAGGGCCTTCCTTTCTTCCTGCTTTGATGCGCAGACTTTCGGTCATCTGGGCGCCGGCCAGCTCAGAGCGTATGGCGCGCACTGTCGCGGAGATCTCGCGGCAACGTCTGATGGTCAAAAGTGACCCTAGGAGGATGCGGTGATGCGATGATGCGGAACGACCTCCCTTGAAGTCTAGTACTTTGCATTTCCCGAGAGTCTCTATGCAGGCGACTTCGACGAAGTTCAGTGTTGTGACAATCCTGGCCTCGCTCATCGTATCTTGTGAAGCGGTTGGCTTTTTGAGGATTAAACCATGCTTTTTACGAAGCTAGGGGCGGGTTCGTGCATCAGCCGACCAGTGGCACGGCGCCTGAGTGACTTGACCAGCTCACACATGAATAAGATAAGAAATCTGAAGCTGCGCTGCGCATGCACTTAACATCGTTGATGAGAATCGGAAGTTATTGGGTGATGATGTTTGATCGACAGACCCACCTCTTCGCGGGAACTTGGGCTGGAAGAGAAGATAACTCTCGATGGGCCAATATAAGAAGATGTTCAAAAACATCTGGAATAAAAATAGACATGCAGACCCAATTTGCAAGAGTGAAGAGATTTTCTTTTCTTTGAAAATTTTGCTTCTTTTTTTCTTTTTTTTTCATTATGATTGAAAAAGAATTATGTACAATCCTCTGCTGCTCCTAACTCGTCTAATTTGAAGACTAAGCACCGTAACTGTTACGAACTCCGGGATGGCCGGGGGGGTAGACCAGGACCAGAAAGTTTCCGCTTGAGATCTGGACCTGCATCTTGAGGTCCTTCCATGGATTGTTGCGTGGCCAAATTTCTTAGCGTATTAGGTTTTTGCGTATTTGGATTCAGGGAGCTTGTTCTGAGCCTTGCTGCATTCAGGCGTCTAGAAAGGAGGCTGCTTGGATTAAGGGGTTCTGGAGTTGGAACTTGTTTTGGTTCAGCAGCCAGGTCGGCGTAATTCTGCAATAACCTTGAAAGGTCTGGCAGAGGGAACTGGGGAAGACCTTGTGGGTTGTTGGTGAACGGATTCTTCGAAAGTCCTCCCGCAAGGCCCTGCTGAGCTGCATTGTAACTCATGAACTGCTGAATCCTAGCCTGCAATTCAAATTGTAATCTCACGAGTTGATATGCCATGATCATGCTCACGTTGTCCTGCAGCCTAGGAGGTGGTTGGGCAAGATTGAATGGAAGCGTTGGCCAAGCTGAAAATAAATTGCCGAGATTTGGAAGGTGGGCCAAATTGTCCTGATGTGGTCCAAGATCTGGTAGACCTGAAGTCGTCGCAGGTATTCCATTTTGCACCTGGCTCCAGAGATCTTGTGGGCCCTCAAATTCGTTAGAAGTCCAGCCTACTCCAGAGGAATTCTTCGGGCGGTTGATTTTGGGATGGGTATGTGTTCCTTCGTAGCTAGTGACAATGAGGCCAGGATCCTCAATGGACCGCTCCACCCGTTTTCGGACGGGACAATTTGCAGTTGTACACCGGTAATAGTTCCTGCAAATCATCACAATGCATCAAATTTCAGAAAAATGTTTATCTTGAAAAGAGAAAAATTCATTCAACAAGTTCACCATTTACACAAAGCTGGAGAATTTCAGCTTCGAAACCATTTCCCTTAACCTAGGACTCCATATTTCAGGACTGTCGGAATTGCAGAAACTATGGCTTGTTACTGATCAACCCATTCCCCTGTGTTTGCGCAAGTAACATGAACCATTCCCGTTTTCGGAGAGAAACCAACTCATGAATGGTCGTGCACGTACTGGGTTCATTTTATTCTTCCTATTTACAGAAGGTTTTGTTGATGCGCTTGCTAAGTTTTGTGGAATTCTCTTATAGTACTGCTTGCATCCTACATTTGCTCCAATTATTGTGACGTAAAAGTTCCTCGTGAACAACTGGCAGAGATAACGTGTGAGTAATACCTGGGATGTGGGCTGCTCTTCACGGGCTTCTGACCATACTTGCGCCATTTGTAACCATCGTCTATTACATCCACTTCGGATCTCGTTTTGAATTCGTATCTTGGCTCCCGCGGCCTTTTGGGTCCCTTCATTTTCTGCCCTTGCTCCATTGATCTGCTAAACAATTAAACGGTTTCGAAGTCAAGAACGAGGTCTTAATTATGGACTAGGATTAAAGGCATACATACTCATTGACAGCACAGTTGAGGAACATCTCGGAACTGCTGCACCTTCTCCCAAGCCAGGGAAAAACGACTCGATTAAGATAGTATCTTACGATGAATTGCTCGTTTCTTGCTCCTTCACTACGTCATCGCCGTCGGAACCATCGATTCCTTCGTCACGCTCCACCGATTTCCTCTTGCGGGTCGTCTTGGCCTCATCTCCAGAGCCAGTGCCAGTAGAGTCACTGGTAATCATAAAATCACTGCTAGATGGGTCGCTCTCCGCGCTCTTTTCAGATGTCGAAACGATCTCAGAGGTGGAGGCAGTTTTTCCCCCGGAACCCCAAGCGGATACAGTGTTGGGGATTACTTTGGGACTCCAGCTCTGGAGAAACTTCAACTGATCGGAAAACAAGGGCGACGCACATAGAGTCCCAAGGTCAGCGAATCCTCCCATCTCAGAAAATTTGGGGGACATCAATCCTCTTGGAGAAGCGCCGCTCAAATCTAAGTACTGCGATTCGAAAAGTTGCTGCGCCCAGACGTTCGCCTGATCGGTAGACTCCTCTAAGCTTGCCTCTGGTTCGTCACCTTCTCGGCTTGACTGGTTCATGCTGTCGCTGCAATCATCTGTCTCCTTACATTCTTTCCTCACTTCCTCAAGCGCCATACTCTCGTCTGTCATCAACATTATCCAGCTGCGATTTACCTACTTGCCAAGAAGCAGTCCTATTCAGAGGCACAAGCTGCTTTGAAGCTCTCGACGTCGCTTCCAAGAGCACCTCTGGCGAACGAAGAATTATTGCTCCTGAGTCGCTGGCAAACAGGTTCTAGACACCGATGCACTGGAGTGGAGTACTGAAGAGGATGGCAGAATGCTGCAGCCTCACCTGCTGTAGTAGTTTCTAACGCTTCTCGAGCTTTGCAACGGAGTGTTGGCCGCAGGACTTGGACCATCTTCCAAAATTGACAGGAAAACCACAGCGCTCTTTCGTATATCACCAAACCTCTATCCTCACACGACCCCCTAGACAGACCGAGTCACAGCTAGTCAAACTACACGCGGATCCATTCCAGGGTGTGGCGGTAGAGGAACGGGACTCCGAGGATCGGGAGTGTGGGCCATAGCTTGTACATCATCTACATTATATTATGAATAAATAGACATATATGTACAAAACATACATACTTACATACATACATACATGTCTACGCATACGTAAAAACCCACACCCACAGTGAGAGATATTTATTAATATTATATAAATCAATTCAAGATTATTCGTTTAGGTCCACATTTTTCTTGCACCCACTACCGCCACGCATGCTAGATCTCCGGTCCTGAAGGCGGCGTTCCATGTGATGATTTGGTGGACGCAGCAGCGACGGTGAAGGCGACGGTGAAGTATCGCTCAGCTGGCCTGGAAGAATAATGAAACCACCCAAGTGAGAATTATGAAACCGCCCTAACCTTGTGAAATGCTGATGGTGCAATAGCACAGTCTCTGGCAGGCTCCCCAGTTTCTGTAAGGCTCACTAAGCCGCTTCCTTACTTCGGTAATGTCCCCTTTCCCATAGTTCGTTTGTTTATTTCCACACGAAAACAGTTCCTTCCTTTCACCATATTAAATTCACACAAATCATACTCATCTTAATCCAGCGTTCGCATCCAAAACCTTGATACAAACGAGATTTGTAATAATATAGACTTCAGTCAGTTAAACTTTTGTTTTGACTAGTTTCTAGAATTTGGTATGCTATTAGTGTGTGTGATAGCACAAGGTGAATTAATGTTAAATGTGTCTCATTATCCCTGAAGCTTACTTGCGTTTATTATGAATTTGGTTTTGGAATTTTGCTCATTTAAGTGATTTAAAAATAAATAAATAAATAAATAAAAGTGAAGGTCATTTCTACTAAACAATCGTAATATTAGTAGATTCACTGTTATATCAACATTGAATCAGTCATAATTGACATAGTTTTTTCCATTGATGAATCAAAACATTTGATATTATATCAAAGACTCATAGCATTCCCTAAAATTCGACTAACATGGAATTTCTCTCATACCAAAACAGGGACAGTAACACTTTGATGTTGAATTTTTGGTAAATAACATTAAAAATATTTCGACATCTAACATAGTTTATTCTTAATAATATTTCACCAAGTTCTCTATATGTGTGTGTATATATATATATATATACATGCACACACATAAATGGAAAAAATCAAAAAATCAAAAAAAGAAAACTAGATATTTGAGTGTAGGTACAATGTTTGTTAAACTTTAAGGAAAAATAATTTGAATCCCAAAACTGGCACGCCATCGATGGATCAGAAAGTAGCTTCAACTACTTTTCTTGCGTTGGGACTTTAAATAAAAAAGTTTTCTACATCTGCAACGTGGTGGATTTCAGATTGTCAGATAAAAAAAAATAGTAAGCCTGCAATCATTCCTTCGAAACTGTGCAGATCATTGAGGCTCAGGTCTATCTCCACGAAAGGATGAATAAATTGTCCAGGAGAAAAAACACAGTAAGTGTTACCATCAAATTCCTACAGTTCTGTAATGTCAATTTTGCTCTGCCTGTAGCATCGAAGAATTTTCATGCCATTTTGTAGAAGAAAGTGTCCATTCTGCGACGAGGACAAAACAAGGAGAATAAAAAGTGACGAAAGTAGCTTTTGGGTTTTCATACATCAAAAAGTTTTTGTCCCTGTTTTGGTATGAGAGAAATTTGTATGAAATGCTGCACAGATGAAAGATTGGTGGATGCTATGTGTCACCGTTGACGCTTAGTTTGTTATAGTTTACGTCTTCCTCGGTCATGTGATGCAATGTTCTAGCAGTAGGCCTAGCCCCTGTGATACATCGTGGGTAAGTACAGTGGATCTTTACGAGAAAAAGGATCTTCTTCCAATGGAGAGTACTGACTTTCGAGAGAAGTCCTGGCCCGGCCCAGTAGCTGCTATTGGATATACCGCACTTCGAGGCCTGCATGGCTCCACTTGGAGAACTGATCGGCAATAGCTTCCCGCGGAATCCTCGTCGCATCACTCGTGACATCAAAAAGACGCGAATCAACCTGAAATAAACTCTACCATCCTGATGTCGCCTCTCTCTTTTCACATCTACAGACAAACGAACATTAAAACATATCAATAACAGTAGGGGGGATGCAGAAGCAAGCAGCCTGACTGCTTGTAGATGATCTACCATACCTAGCTCAGGTCACAATCATTCCAGTACTTTCGGTACGGGCCTATACCTGAGGCTTTTTTGTACTTTTTTCTGATTTTCGAGACGGGCTCATGGTGGCGCGCTATCCATAAAATAATCAATTCCATGAGCATTACAATTATTTCAGCAGGCAAAGGGTTTTCAGCTCGTTACGATCCAATTATCCCAATTCGACACATTTGTCTTTGGTACAAGCTATCTGATAAACAATCTCAAAATACAGATGCACGGTACGCCACATACCAGATCTTTGTCTTTCTCAGTGTCGAACAGATCAACCACTCTGACAGAGGCCAGTGAAGGAGCGAGTCAGTAAAGAGGTGCCTCCCCACCAGAGCTTGTGCAAGTGGAGCCATGCAGGCCTCGAAGTGGGGATCGTACGAGTCACACACACTTCGGGATCAGGCATATGCAGGATGAAGCAACTACTTTACTTTGTGGCGTCGGCTGAAAGGAAGCCCATGTCCATGTGCTTTGCTACGTTCATCCTCCCTCTCTTCCTCCTCCCTTCTGTGTCTGCCCCCAACAACCAGCCCAGTCGCCAACCACCACTACAGGATCTATTGACCGTCGCAGCCAATTCTTTTCCTCACGACACAAACGAGAAGCAGACACGGCGTTCACATGGAGGGCCACTGCTTCGAGGACTGAAGCGCAGGGAATCGCCGGGCGGACAAGATGATGGAAGCTCTCGCAAACCTCTATGCTTGCTTGTGTGCCTGCTTCTGTTGCTGCTGCGGAGGTCGTGACGGTGGCGGCGGCCATGACAAGGGAGCGCAGTGCCTTTCGACTTTTTTGAAAAAGTAAAAGTAGAAGTAAGATGCCACTTACTCTAGGCTTGACTGGTTCATGCAAGTTGTTTGACGGATTGGGATTTAGACATGAGCGAGGAATAGTTTAAAAGACATATTACTTTCCCAATGAAAATATCAATAAATTTTAAAGAAAAATCTATTTAACAACAAAAATGTCACACAATAATACTACACAATAAGCTATCAATTTTTTTCACCAAGAATATCAAAAGATTTGTAAAGATGATAGACACTTGAGAGTGCAATTATGAAAAGAGGATATGAATAGATAGAAATTGATTATATCAAAAAAATTTAAAGAAAAATCTACTTACTGACAAAAATGGCACATGATAATGTCACACAATAAACTATCATTATTATTTTTTGTAGAATATCAACAGATTTGTAAAGATGATAGAAACTAGAGCATGTAATTATGAAAAGAGGATATGAAAAGATAATTGGTTTAAATAAATACATTTATGGATGATTCAAATTGATTGTTTTAACTTCATTTCATTTCTTTCAATGGTTATATATATATATATATATATATATATACACCATCATATTTATAGATAAATATGATTCAAATTAAGATGATTGTGTATAAAAATGATTCAAATGCTTGCTGTGTAATTTTTAACCTCTTAAATATAAAATAAGTAATTTTTTAAAAATTAATAATAGAAATATTATATATTTTATTTAAAATAAATTTTAACTTATAATAATAATCATTATCATTATTATAATTGGATTTTATATAAATTACATTTTAACAAGTCAAATTTAGGTTTTTTTTAATATTCATATTATTTTAGGCTCTATATTATTCTTAATGTATTTTTAAAATAAATTTAGATTTATTTTATTTCATTTATTATATAAATTAAATCAACTTTACAATATTATAAAACATCTATAGTATAATTTTTTTATTTTTTTATTTTTATTTTTTTTTCTATAAATTTATAAGTAATATACAAAAAATATAAATACCAATACCAAATTCTTTAAATATATATATATATATATATATATATATATATGAATAATCTATATTAAAAATAATCCTTAACTTTTTCTTATTAAGTTTTTTATGTTCCATATAGACTTGTTTTCTTTTATTAATTTGATGTTTTATTTAAGAAATAAAAAAATAAGAACATAACATAATTGCTAAATAGTTATATTAAGTTTTTAGAAGGCTCATAAGCTACAAATACACAGACACACACACACACACATATATATATATATATATATATATATATATATATATAAACATATAAATACACACATAAAAACATAAAAAATAAAATAAAATAAAATAAAGTGACTATCCAATTAAGAAACAAATAAATAAATCACAAATAAAGACTTTGTAAGCTTGAAGATAAGATTTATATATACATGTTTATATGTATAATTATAGTTAATTACTTATTTGTACTACCTCATGTAACAAATAGCCATATTCATTAGTATATTTACTTAGATAAATAAAATTATATAGAAATAAGTAGAAGTAGGTCAAATTAATGATATCTTGTTGAAAAGCTTCTTATAAGTTTTGTAGACTTTACACATGTTTATAAGTAATTAGTAGGTTTTCAACTTTGTTGCCAAGTTGATCACATATTGCATACTTAACCACTTGTATTACAAGTTGGCCATATGGAGTATATATTAGAAATACATCATAGAAATTGGACGTGTCTTGCAAGTTAGATACTTGTCATATGGCCTATAAGACATTGTGTCACAGACATAATCATGTAAACTAGTAATTACATATACAAATAGGTAGAAGTAAGTAAAAGTAGGTAAAAATAAGTTAATTCTATAATATTTAATATGGAAGCTTCCTAGAAGCTTCATAGACGATGCTTTGACTTCATAGGTGTCTTTAATTGAGTTTTTGGATTAGAAACGTGGTCAACAATTGGCCATGTGCCACACATG